ATGATGAGAGCACCAATGATGCCAGGACAAGACATGCGACGATCACCACGTATGCCGCCTCAACCATATCCCGGCAACGCCTCGCCCGGTCCCTTCAACCGCCCCGACAACAGCTTGCATATACATCCTGTCTATGGACACGATTCCGGTCACCCCTCACCAATCTCGCCACTTAATGGTGCCCCTTCGCCTCACGGCGCACCTTCTCCCCATGGATTCCCTGGACCTGGTCCTGGCCCCCAGAGACCGTATGGACCTTCTTACCCAGGTGGAATGATGCGCAACCGAGACATGTCGGAACCTTCAATCAAGCCGCCAATGTCGCCCATGGGTCACCGGGACGGCCTTCGACATAACCCTGGTCTCAACGGTGGTGCAGTCTCTACGCCTAACCTGCATAGCAACATGACTGCTCCCCCTTTGCCACCAATCAACCCTCGACGCAAGAATACGGGAGCTACCCTTGCAGAAGGCACCATGAGCGCGCATCGCCGCCCGATGAGCCCCAGTATTGCGAACGACCAACGCAGTGGCTTCCGAAGTGATGATGATGATGGCGCAGGGATGACCCGCCAGAGATTGCGCAAAGCCACTAGCGAGGCAAACGGTATGAACGCACGAGCAAGATCAATGCATCAAGCTCCTCCTCCGCCTATGGCAGCACCACCTCTGCCTCCTAGCATGAGCAGCAATGCAGTTCCCGGCGGTATGATTTAGCAGTGCAAACGATCACTGTTTTCTTTATATTTCTTTCTATTCTCTTAATTCGTCTTTTGCCGACAGCACGAGACTCATGACAAAGATACCTCACGGCCCTTTTCATTTCATAAACTTAATCTCAGCGTCCTGAATCATCGAACAAAGCCTTCGATGATAGGACCCCAACATTCGTGTGTATTTGTGGGGTGAAGGATTTGTCACTCCTTGTATGTTTTCTTTTGGGGATAATTCGGTCATTGACGGATGGATGGTGGAAATCTAGTCTCAGGCGCAAATTAGCCAGGCTAGCAAGAGATCGAGCAGGTCCTTGATTCGAGTAGCTGGCGTCAGGCAAGGTGTGGAAGGAAATGATATGTCTGGAAGTAGAATGGAAAGGAACAAGCGGGCATGCATTCAACAAGGCTGGGGAGGTGTTTGGTTTTGTACGTATAGGATTGGAAGCTCACGGCCGAAAGGCGTAGTGAGGATACTACGTCAGTTTATAAAATGTTGACCCATGGAGTGTTTTCAGCATTTCAAAGGATGGCCATAGTCGAGGAATGGGGAACAGGCTTTCGTGTCCTTGTTGATATGTCTTGAGCGTGATATGCCCCCCACGATTCCATCAAGTTTCATGGATGAGCACCTCGGCCCGTAAAAAACAGGTCACTGTCGAGAGTCTTGTTTTTCACAAGAGTAAGTCAGAGTACACAGAACATCACGAGCTGCATCACAACTACAATAGAACAGTCTCACAACGTCATAGAATTAGGCTTTGTTCAAAATTTTGCCATATTCCTATTTCATGTATTGCCTCCAGGGTATGCCAGCACCCCGCGTGCGACTTTTTGCGTCTCTTCAAGCAGCCACTGCTGATCTGACGGGATCTGACGGGACAAGTTGAGGCTGCCAGACTCCATTTTCACTTACAATCAAGGCTGTTGCTACTGTTGTTTTCTGCATTTATTGTCGGTGCGCCGTGGCAATGTGGTTCCAGCTTGTGGACATTGCATTTCCAAGCCTGAGAGAAGGGCCGACGTGAGGTTTGCTACATTATGTAACGAAGGGAATTTACCGGAGGACGGCTCGAGCTGTATATCGGGCGAGTCCGGGACATTGCGCAGAATTTGGGGGAGTTTTTTTATGAAACAAGGGTCCAACGGAGGGTTCAGCAGTGGCAAATAAATCTGGAATTGGCAATCTGCATTTATGATTGGAGCGTTTCATTTCACGATGTACTCACCAATTCAAATCACTGCATTAAGCGCCGGAAGAAAAGACGCCGAAAGTGGGTTGATACAACTTGGTATTGATTCTTGTCTCTAACTCTCAAAAAGTCAAGTCGCCCAAAAAGAGACCGCGGGTATCGATTATTGTTACAGTTGAAAATCCGTTGCGATTCATTCCCCGTTAACCCCGAGACAAGTCCAAAACGTAAAAGCATAGAGTAATAGAACGCCCAAAACCCGACGTCATATCTTTCCCATGGCGCCTTCGCATAAACACCCCCAAAGAGGCTGATAGCAAAGCTTTTGCTATTGGAAAAGAGGATAATTGCTTGAAGAACCAGTCGCTGAGGTATCAATCAACAAGAAGTGAATTGGTGAATGTGACGACCAGGTCATAGGTGAGAATGGAGGAGCAGGTTCCGGGCAGAACAGAAGCGCCGTCGTGGAAGTCGTCAAGAAGTCGTGTCTCGTACCATCGATCGTATCCAGACTCTCATCTCGTCACGCTGTAGGCCTTTGCCATGATGGAGATCCATGCAAATGTTGCAAGAGAAGAGAAGGACATTGCCGTCAAGACGTCTCTGTGGGTGAATTATTTAGCACAGAGGGCAGTTGTTGCATTGCTTGTGGCCGCAAGCGGTGCAGGTGGTGCTGATGACAATCATGCCTCCACACTGGCAGCAGTACTCATAGGCAGGCATGTTGGTGATGTTGGTTGGTGATGGAGTTTTGTGGTGTTGAAGTGTTGGAGTGGTCTTGTTGAAGTTGAAGTGGTCGTGGGTTGGAAGAGTCTGGTGAGTGTTGATGAAGAAGAGAGAGAAAGGTCAGCTCGGAAATGGAGGGAAGAAGAGGAATATAAATAGTTGAGGAGGAGAGAGAAAGAAGGAGGCGAGGCAGGGTAAGGCATAGTAAGGCAACCCAACGGAAGGGGATACCCTCAGAGTGCTCGGATATGTTGATCGGAAGTCGAGCGGATGAATCAAATGAGAGACAACGTCCAAAAGAATGGGGGTTAAATTACTCTGTACTTGGAATGGGCTGGTTTCGGCATCTTCTAAGACGGGTAGAGACCTGGCCTAAAATCCACATTCACACATTTTCAGTGCAGGTCAATGTTTATCCCCGAGCCTAGAGCCTCAGCCAGAGCAAAGAGTGGGCAGTTTTTTTCTTGTGTGGTGGTCACTGGTGGTCCTGACTTACACGCTTCGCGCTAGGCAACCCTTAGATTTCAAGGTTCAAGGATCCCTTGGCTTGGCTTGTGTTGGACGTCTCCGCTCTTGGTGACACAAGCGTTTGTGGTGAGGGGAACTCTGCATGTGCCGTACCGAAGAGAGGGTGGGTGATCTCAGCTGAGGTTTTTACTGGTTGGTTAGTGGAAGCGAAGACATATACTTTTTACAGTACGATTTTGATATCGATATCTCTTACATTCATGCTTATTTTCTGTCTCTTACTATTGTCTGTCTTTTATTTTTGTGATGGTTTTGCCTTGCTTTTGGACTGAGGCTTAGACTAATTTAACTCAGGACCCTGGCGTCACAAGCTAAGGCAACTCCCATGTTGATGCGTAGGAATGTTCACGCAGGATACGTCATCGTGCAATGACGATGGGTGTCTTAAGGTGCCTAGCTCGATCTTTGAGATGGAGAGAAAAGAGACACGGAACGAGCCAAAAAGTAACGAGGCAGTGTGACGAGAATGTCTAATCCAACCAATACCCTTCAAAAGGTTGATCCATGCCATCCAGGCTGGTCCCTCGTCACTTTTTTGCTCACTCCACGTTCACAGGCCGCTAAAGAACATTAAAGCGAAGAGCAGAACATCCGTCCACTCACAACCCCCGTTCATCATCTCCAGATGAGGCTAACGAGACAACCCCCAAAGTCGGCTGTTTCTTTGGACTCTTGCAAGATCTCAGCTTTTTTTTACAGCTGCCTGTTCCCATCTCATCCGCACGCATATGTACGGTTTGGTATGGTGTGGTAGACTCACAGGGAACAATCCATTGCATCCGAAGAAACTCACAAAATTGGTGATGATGAACTCAGAACTGCGCCTCGTACTTGGTCATTCTTAGCTGACAAGATCATCAAGATCAAAAGCTGATCACACCCTTTCGAGCTGTACAACTTGCGGGGTAAGAGACTCTTGTCACCACCATTCATCTGCCGTAGCAGAATCACAAGTCCAAACTCACTTGCCGATCTGACAAGAGTCCTACGGATGAATGCTACATGCTACGACCCCGGATTTTCGCCTCTCGATGCCCAAAGATTCTCGACTCAAAAGCCTCCTTGGCCTCTTCTTTGTTAGCGGCGAACGGGATGACGCATTCCTGTCGGTAATTTGCAGCTCCCAGCACGAATCGGGTCGACGGTTGCATTGGTAGGGTCCCCCCGCGCGCAAGGGCATGCGCCACCGGGGATCGAGAGCCCACACACCCCCAGAGGCTATTATGAAACAGTATGGGGTAAAGCTTTGAGAGATTCGATATCTCTCGCCTGTCATCGTCGAGCATTTGACAAAGTAGCCTGACTGATGCGGTTGCGGTTGCGGCTGCGCTTTGGTCTCAACGGGTGATGGGAAGCTCGGTAAAGTTAGGAAAGCGGCTAAAGAGGCATTTTTACTGCTTTATGCAAATATTTATTCATGGTCGTTCCCTCTTTTTGTAGGTTCCGTCTTGCACGTGGAGGCCGATTGAGATGTTAATGGTTGATTTCGTCTCCGAGCGTCCGACGAGGCTATTGCCAGACTTTGACAATTCAGAACAGAATCCCCATGAGACTTCATAATTATCATTAATCAGTATGACCAATAACAGGTAAAGCAAATTAAGTCAATTTGGTATGTAGCAATTGTTTGTTTCGCTTACTTAACGACCATGTTCTTGACGCCAGAAAATGCAGTGTGTGGTTAGTAGTGGCCTGTCTTACCATCCTAACCCTAATCCCTGAACTCCAATGCCAGATTTCATCCGTCCTCCAGCAAAATCTAAATCCATCAACTCCATAACGAAATGTTTTATCCCAATGATATACCATTCTCCTGTTTTCTATCCATCTAACCCAGTGTTTATTCGAATCTGAAGATCTGGCCACTGTTGCTGGTCATTCGAGGGCGCTCGTAGTAGTACGCAGGCGGCTGATGATTGACGGACTGCAGCGGAACGATCTCCTGGGGTTGAGCTTGAAAGTGCTGTCGGGGCATGCTGTCAGCAGGCCTTAGTTGGGAAGCTTGAAACCTCCCGAGAAGATCAGCGAGCAGTCGATTGTGTTCCATCAAAGTTCGGATTTGTTCGTCCTGCTTCTCATTGTTCTCCCTCATGGCTTCGGCCGCCTTGAGCATTGGCTCTGAGATTCTCTCCAGAGAAATGTCGTTGTCGGTCTGCGTACCTGCGTCTCGGAGGACAATTCGTTGCTGCGAGGCCTGAAGCTCTGCAAGCCTATGGACTTCAGCAGTGAGAAGTGCTTGATCTACTTGAACGCTTGCACGTTTGTTCGCAGGCTGGGCTGGGTGTTCAGGGGCAGGCCGTTTGACAGCGCGAATGGGACCGCCGAAATCACCTTCGACCGATGGTCGAATAATGTTGTTCCTGTAAGCAGCATCGACTTGCCTTCGATCTGTTCCTTGGCTACTGGCTCCAGGTTCAACTTTGACTCGGGGTGTCTCTGGCTCAGCTGAGATAGGTGTTGATACAAAGGGTAGGTGTTTCCTGAGCTGGTGCTCCACCCATTGCTTAAGGCCGCGCTTTCTGACTTCTTCGATGAACTTGACATTGTTGTTGCCGAAGGATTCATGAACCGCAAGTGTGGCAAGGAAGATTTCAGGATCAGGCTGAGCATCAGGTCCAGAGACGCGACACCAGGCTACAAAGTTCTTGTAGAATTGAGTATCGCTCCAGCCACGACGAAGATTACTCTTCTCGATCAATTCCACCACACGCCGATACAGAGCAGGATGCTTCTTGGCGTCAGGGTGAATGCGAGCGATTGCGGCGTCCCATCTCTCACGAATAGCTTCGACGTCGTCCCTGGAGATCATGGGCTTGGAGGACTTTGCCTTTCTTGCGGGGGGAGCTTCGACCTTATCAGTTGTGTTGTCGGCTGACTCTGTTTCGGACGACATTGTCATGGCGATGTTGGTAAGATGTAGTTGACTGATGCATGTCAGTATTGGACGAAGCGATGAATGGTTGATACGACTGATGATCTGACCCATGAGATGTAACGAGATGATGATGGTGATGTAAGAAGCAAAGAGAGAATAAGAGAAAGGAACGAATTGTGGAATTTATACCTTGAAGTCAAGAGGGTGTGAGTGATTTAGTGCAACCTATCGATGGATCGAGGATGCTAAAGGGGACGAAGCATTTGGCGAGTGAAGAGAAAAGGACGGAAAAGATGAAGACGAGATAAGAGGAAACCATACAAGTCTATAACAAAGAAGTGAGATGAAGAGAGAGGAAACAGAAGGGGAGGGAGGGAGGGGAATCTGTGGTCAAGTCACAATGTTGTGGTATTTTGCACCAAAAAAATGAAAAGGTCAGAGGTTTCCTGTAATGGAATTCCCTTTGATGCCTCGAATTTGGTTGCACTTTGCACCCTAGCGAGATTCCCTAATGTGCTCGAGTGGGCTTGTTGTGCCCCAGTTGCGGCTCTGTTGGTGTTGCTAAGCGTCACCAAATCGATGGGCCCCTCCAAGCGGCATCAGAGCCACAATCGCTCGGCCGGGCCGCCACCACCTGCTCAAAGATTTTAAGAATTTACCTAAGACTCATCCTAATATCATAAACTATGCACTGTGATTTACTGATCTTTAGGATGCTTTGATCCACATGAGGACCCTTTAAGCCGGCAGAATTGGGGATGGATCGTGCCAAGAGCTGCATGACCTGATATATCAGAAACATACCATGTCAGCATCCTGCATCGCCAATCATGCCTTGCAATCGATCATGCTATATAAATATTGGCTACCTATCTCATATACATATAGTGCCACAAGTGGTGCAAGGATATTGCAGATCGTGGGGTTGGGCGTTGAGTCCTGGGGTATAAAAGGGAGGGTCACTCTTGGCTGCACGCAGAAACATATCAAGATATCTTCTTCATTTACATACAACATACTCATCTGGCACTGCTCAGACAAGAGACTGAATATATACGTCACTAATATCAGCATTTTCGTTCGAGTTCCATCTTTGTGGCAGACATCATTTGCCCTACTCGGCACACAAGCATTGCACTGCTAAAGCACTTGCATTGCCAGGCAAAATCATTGCCATGGTTCGAGCGATCAATCTTATGCCACCTGCAGGGCGGCGGGTGCCTGGAAGCAAGTCCAGAGAAAGTTACCCCTCTCCACTTCAAAATTACTTTCCAAACACAACACACTCTGGCTTCGTGACCACATCACGAGAGTTGGTGAGTATCCCCTTTCACGGTTTTATATCTTGTCAACTCTACTAAACTCTGTGTTCTTCGTCTATAAAGGTCATCTTTCCTGAATCCTGTACCACATCCTTTTCCCCTTCTCTCCACTCTCATTATTCCCCGTCTGCCCACTCCTCACGCAATCAACAGAGCACACAACGAGAACAGACCAAACCCTATCATTTTCAAGTTTCTTTACTCGACAGGGTATTTTGTTCCTATCCTACACTTCTACTTCAAATATTACATCTTCTTACCTTCAAGATGGTTCGTACCTTGCACATGAGCCACCGCCACCCCTTGACCGTGGACATGTTCGAGAGGAACGACTATCTGCGTTTCGACCTCGAGCACCCCCAACAGGCTGTGATCGTACCTACAAAATACAACAGCCGTGCCAAGATGGAGAGAGATGTCGACGAGATCGTCGCCAAGATGAAGGAAAGTCGCGAGCGTTTCGGGGTCATGGGGCGAGACAAGATCCTTAACCATGGACATGTCAGATCCACCATCTCGACCGCCACCAACCTCGTGGACTCCATGCAAATCATCGTCAAGAGGTATTACTTCGACAGAGAAGAGGGATTGCGCATAAAGCAGCAGCGCGAGTATGCTGCTATTGAAGATGCTGGCATGTCCAAGCCTTTTAAGCATGCTGCAATTGCTATTCGCTACAACATGGACCTCCGCGAGAAGTGGTTCGCTTTCAAGATGTCTCAACGCGGCCGTCAGCTCGAGGACGGTCTAGAGAAGCTCAAGCGCTACAGTGCTGAGGCACTGTTCGTTTCTAATGGAAACGAACCGCATTGGGGATCAACCCTCACCTGAGACCCTCTGCCGCTTCAAGATATCCGACACAGACGCCCATCTACCTATGGCCTAGAGCCCACTGGAAATTTGTCTGTTCAGATATATCCAGCTTGAAGTAAGTCTAATCGTGTCTGTTGCCTCTTCTTCATACTTATTCCATCCAGGGATCTCACTTGCGGGATCTATTGAGAATGAACATTTTGGGAGCATATCGAACAGGGACTACGACAATGGATTTCGTACTGTATACCATAGGCGTTTGACGACAGACCCATGGATTTTAATTAATTGGAGGGATCGGCACGGGTACGCACAGTAATGGTTATTTTGGAGTTGCTATGCGTTTGTTTGTGTTTACATCTCAAGGGAATCAACGTTACCAGTAGTATTTGTTGCTACGGCACTGGTACAGCTACGCATTACGGATTACGATTTACGGAATATTCATCAGGGACATGAGAAATACTATGAAGGGCATCGATGTTAATACACAGGACATCGCATTTATTCACTTGAAGTGCTTACTTGTTTGTGACTGTTCTGCTTCTACTTGATCGTGATGGCTGTGACTGCGAAGTGCTTCTGTTCGCTGTCATTCCATGCTGGCGAGAACATCGCGTGGGCAACAAAGACGCTTGACTGTAGCATGCCAACCTCCAGGCCTGAGATGCCCTCGCTGTCTCTCCTGATGTGACTCATACTGCTACGGCGGACAACTCAAGATTCACGATCATAGTTTTCATCAAAGGTCAATCATTGCAGAGACTGAAGACTTGGCCAGTGGTAGTACGCAAGACATGCTCATCAGTGAGTCAAGAGTGTCGTCTGTAAACTTTCCACAAGATGCAAAGTATATTGGCTCTCAATTTAAACCCATTCAACGTGAAGATCAAAGTTCTCACGTACTGAACCTTGTCTCTTACAACCAATTTGGGTCTCCACCATCGCAGCGATTCGTTGTCTTGTAAGCCCCTTCCGTCGTGTAAGTGCGAAGTATATGGCTGTCACGGTGTCTCGAAGAACGATAAGGTTTCGCAACGGTAGCATAAGCTTCCATTATTGTTCATGCTAGATTGGGAGACTCGCATCGTGGTGATTCGTTGTTTTGGTAGCCCCGTGCAACAGTTTGTAAAGTTTAAGTTGATTGGGGAGATTAGGGTTTCGAGCTTTTCTTGACGTCTTGTGACTTAGTCAGTCTCGAGGTTAGACTTGAGAGTATATCGAGAAGCATACTGACGTTTTGGTATACGAGCGCTTTGGGGGCAATCCTGGAACAAGGTCGATTCGGGTTGCTTGTAACTCTGAGCTTGTCTTGGGCTCTGTCACTTTTGTTAGTCAGGATTCTATAGCTTCTGGGATGCTTTCGGGCGGCCTTGCTAAGTGAAACTGGCGAATCTTCGCGCAGTCACTGGTGAACGTGATCGAGTTGAGTCGCTGGTGGCCCTGCGGTCGTTCGGGAGGGTTGCCAAAAAGCTAGCCAGGAGATTGAAGATCCAAGGAACTGGAGCGGTCTTTCAGAGGGACAGCGATCGAACACTCGTGTGTTATTCGAAAGATCCTGAGTAGATTGATGGTCGCATGTAGCGCTGAGCGTGCCGTGAAGCTTTGTCAGTCACTTCGGCGATCCTTGTTCTTCGGTGGATGTATGGCAACCCTACAGAACGGCGGCGGTCAAGTTCTCTTGTACCAATTCGTACATATTGAGTAGAATGAAGCTTGTGTGAAGCGCTGATCTTGTCTTTTAGAACTCCCAGGGCGCCCGCCTAAGTTGGGTGCTTCAGGGGTTCTCACGTAACCTTGCAGTTAGCTTCTAACACGGCGGCGGTCGAGCGCTCTCGTACTCTTCGGCGGAATATAGATCGACTGGAGGTTGAATGGGACACTAAGCTTGTCTGTAGATCTTGTAAGCCTGTCCGCCACCATTTTCTGCTTCAGGGGTTCTTGTGCACACTTACGGCAACTTTGCAGGGCGGCCGCGGCCAAGCGTTTTTGCAGTAACTTGGGGATCCGGAATCGACTAGAATATATACGAAGTTCCAAGCTCGTCTTGAGGCTTTGTGAGCCAGTCCGCCGCGGTTCGTGACTTCAGGGGTTCATGGGCAACGCTTACGGGACGACGATTGATGAGCGCTCAGACGATAAGTGGCAAGCTCAAGGTCAATGGCAACAAGTCGGAGCTTCGAGACAGTACATGCATCCTTTTCCAGGAAGGACGTGATATCAGGGGGTCTCGAGCGAAAATGCAGTGGAACAGCGGTATCATACTCAAACTTGAGCGCTGGCGGCGGAAAGCGAGGCTAGTACTTCTGGTCACTTCCTGTGGTCATTGCTATCGTTAGTTTGACTGGCGGTAAACTTCGAGGGCATCAAGAAGCCTTAGCTGCTAAGACCTATGTCAGTCTTGACGTCGATTGTGTGTGCTCGGAGTCCTGGGATCTCGTTGACAAGCGGTCTGGCTGGGGACTACAGCTGGAGAGTCTGGCCGGCGCAACTACAATGGTAGTCAAAATGCATGATGTTTGCGTTTAATCTGGCTCAGGAATGAAGTTACAGTGCCAGGAGATGGTTCCGCCAACTTCCTGACATTACAGCTACAGCCGGCTTGACTGGGCGGACAGACTCAGGGGTCAATGAGTGTTACCATCGACAGCTCGGCTAGCTTTCAGATGACACAAGACACTCAGGGAGCTTGCTTTGAGTGAAGTTATCTTGTCCGGGAGGCTGTAATTCAAGGAGATCGAGCAGCATCGTCTGGAGGATGGCTGGAGGGTCGGATCTTGTGCGTACTTCGATTGAAGGAATACAGAGCCACGGGGAACTGCTTTGAATCGTTTGCACCATTTCATGAAGGTGAAAGCTGAAATACAAGCTGGATGGAGATGCTCAAGGGCTTCAAGCTTCGTGATGCTCGTGTGAGTGGAAGACGATAATGAAAAAGGGGCGTTTGGGAAAACAAGGGGGGGGGGGGGGGGGGGGGGGTTTATAGTCGCAGAATGAGAGGAAGGAGCGTGTCTCGACACCTCAAGTTTGGTTATGGAGAGCAAGAAGCTGTTTCGATTCGATCGGAGCGCTGCTACCTTGATAAGCTTGACTGTGTGGAATATTTCAGGGGCCAGGTGTCTTACCTCATGGGCGTCAGTTGCTCCTCGACACGATGGAAGGTACGGAGGGTTCTCGGTTCGCTTTGATGCCCTCCCAGTCGGGTCTGAGGCTGTTGGTTTACTGGAGATCGGGCAGGTCTGGGCGGCGGGTGGTTCAGCGGTTACAGAGTTCCAGGTCTTGCATAGAAACCGATGCTTGCACTTGGTTCTTGCCATCGCTGCGATGACGAACTCTAGGTAATTACAAGACTGGATGCAAAATAGGACTGCGAGGCTTGCTGTGACGTACTGTGTTGATGCTGCAGTGGCAGCGTAGGGAGAACCCGAAAGGGCACTACCCTCGGTCGTCGACGCCAAGTTGTTTTGGACCTTCAAAATTGACTAGACTGTGTATTTTGGTGTTGGCATATTGCAGGGTCGAAGGGGCAATAAATTTGGAAGGACGGTCGTTTTGGTATTGGCGAGTGTCTATGCCGCATCATCGCGCGGGAAAACAATTCTGGCCTATTGCACTGACACTGCACAATATTTTCAGACCGAACAGCACAACAAGGCAGTTGCCCGTTAAATCACGATATACTGAACAACCATTTTCACTGTTTATGGACGCAATTGACATTCTTTGGGAAATTGCGAACAGCCCTCCCCCAAAGCCGTGTTCGTCTCAACTCGCTCTTTTGGAAAACGGATGATGGAGGCGATGCCCGTACGCAAGTCACTGATGTCCTTCTGACCTTCTTCTATGCTAACAGCTCGAACATCATATCCAGGAGCCACCTACTCCCGTCGCTAACCTTCCCACGTCTTATGATCCGAGACACAGAAGAGGTTCGAAACCCGAACACCCACGAACCGAGCGAGGCAAGCATCCTTTGATCCCCATGCACCTGAATACTGGTCGTCGATACCATCGAGATCACACTACAAGACCGAAGAAACAGACCGAGCATCGCCAAGCACCGAGCTGCTCGTTACGAATAGGGGTATGTCGAAAAGGACGAGTTTTCGCTCCAACGTTACATTCGATCGAATTCCGTCCCCTCTCGACATGGCATCAACTTTCATGTGAGAACGAACCATTGGTCATTGTTAGAACAAAGGAAAGAACTTCAGCAGTCGGTATCGGGCAACTCGACAACCCCTTACCGCGAGAGGCAGCGTAACCTGTTTTTGTTACAAGTTCGCCGAACCGAATGACTCAACGAGCAAAACTCAATGAAACTCTTACGTGAGGTTATCCGGGAATAAATAGTCTTTGTCACTGGTTCATTGCAGTTGGTCATCAAGTGGCGGTTATTTCCGAACAGTCGGAGTGATCCATTGAAAAAGGCAACTTCCGCCCTATCAGGCCATGACTAGATCTTGTCTTATCTGTTTTTATAGATTATCAGGTAGTATTCTAGATCTCATGAGACTACCGGCATGCAGCAGTGTCAAAGATGGTGTCTAACGAGTTGGGGAGATGGTCGAAAGGTTGCAAAATAACTGCCATATCCGGTCTAGTTCCAATCCCCGCCCGGGTCCGGCCATAGGTGAGACGCGAGGATCGTTCAGCGACAACTAGAAACTTAGACTGTACAATAAGATATTCTTTCCAAATATTGCCTACTACAGAACGCAATTGCCTGCAATCATCATTCGATTTAACCTTGATCTGTAATTGTGGCTCTTGCTTCTACGCCGCACTCCCAGAAGCGGAAGTCTGCCTCACTCTTATACGTTGATCGGCTGGACCCTTGTCCTGGCATTTCATTCCTACCTACACTGTTGGCTTTCTTTTTCCCTACGTATATACGCGGAGTACCCCATGGCTCCAGGAAGTAAAAAGAAGGGGAAAAAAGTACCTTCTGGACCTGTTGCCGACAAGCCTTGTCATAACTGTCGACGTCGAAGACTTCGCTGTGATCGTCAACTCCCCCACTGCGCAAAGTGCGACGCCAAAGGTGTTGAGTGCCTGGGCTATTCTCAAATCTTTCAGTGGACGGGCGCTGTTGCTTCGAGAGGAAGATTGGCTGGTCAGCAGTCCAGCGCTGCCTTGTACACCCCGGCACGTCCTTCTACTGCTCGCTCAAGAGCTTCGTTATCTTCTGTTTCTTCCCTCTCTTCAAATTCACCTGCCTCTTCCTCCTCCGCCTCATCCGTCGCTTCACCATCCGTTCCTTCATCATCACCCGCCTTTATTGCCCCGAGCCTTTCTCAAGTCGAGGAAGTTACAGAAACGTCAGAAGCCGAGTCTGGTTCGGAAATAGACTTATTCAATGACATTGACAACAACATTGATGATGAGAACGACGATGAAGATGATGCTGCGACCCCCCTGGCGAGTGGTGATACACAACTCATCTGTACCACCATCCACAACCAGAACCATCCCCTGGCATCGGAAACG